TCGCAACCCAAGACTGCGGATGCCAAGGGAGAATGTTGGCAAAGGCCGGGCTTATGCCATGTTTAGACTAAAGAAGGCTAAGGGTGGAACCCATTCAGGTATAGTTTCAGACTGGACCAACCCCTTCTCACCTCAAACCATAATGATTCAAGTGTGAAAAGGGGCAGGGCCAAGGAATATACACGCACTCTAAACGCAGTATAAACTTGCCCATGCCGTGCGCTCGTGACTCTCCCTCTTTCGCTCCCTCTCTCTTTCCCTCTTCTGTTTTCTCCTTTAGAGTAAGCCCTTCACACCCCAAGCCATGAAGAAAGTGAATTAATCAAATGTGAAGAGGGCAGGGCCAAAGGAGTATAAACGCACTCTAAACACAGTATAAACTTGCTCATGCCCTGCGCTCGTGACTCCATCTTTCGCTCCCTCTCTCTTTCCCTCTCTTTCTTTGCGAAGGAGTAAGCCCTTCTCGCCCCAAACCATGAAAAAGTGACTTGTTCAAGTGTGAAGAAGGCAGGGCCAAATAATATATATATATATATATACGCACTCTTGCTGATTGTTTAATGCGTGTTGTGCTGGTTTTCTCAGATAGTTACTGTAAAGCCTGCTCGGATGTATGAGTAGCGATGAGTCTTTAATGCAGTCGTTTTGCGAGCTTTCTTATGTTTTTATATAATTGTCATAGTTCCTTTATATACATGCTTAGAAAGATGGCGGGTCAAAGCCCGCCGTGTCGCTGCGGAGAAGCTTCAAACGAGTCCCTTCGGCCTTGTGGTTCCACGCAGGATCCGGAACGTGGCAGAGCAGAGAGCAGCTGCATCAGCCTCGTAGCTTTGCTCATGAAGCACTACGAGCCTAGGAATGAAGTAGCCGGGCGGGTTGAGTAAAGTGATCTGGGTGCCAATGGGTAGAGGACATGGGAGGATCCTGCAACTCTTCTAGTGGTTGGTCGGGGGGTCCGCTACTCTCACCCACTCCCAAAATAATGATAAGTTTTTGTACTTAGAGGTCCCCAACTCTTGGTCTTCACAAGGAACTGTATTCAAAGACCAGCCAATATACTGGAATCATCGAAGCTCCAACGCTGGGTTCGATCCGCTGTTCAGTGGCTGAGGATATTTTTACAGCACCACAGCCTGCGCGTGGAAAGCTGCTTCATCGACAATGGCAAGAGCTCCTGGACATCGTTGAGTGGATCTCACCCACCAAAGAGCAGGCGGGTCATGATGGTCGGATGATTTAAAAAAACAATATTACAATATTCTATATATATTTATGTAATAAATAACTATAACGTGAACGCTGACTTTCCGAACAAACTCCTATGAATTCACTCAGCAGCTTGGATTGTGTTTGTGGACGTTTCCTACGCAGAAGTGCCAACTTGATGGTTCGAAGCTAATTGAGGTGGCCACTCTTGGCGAAAGAACTTGGCTCTGTTTCTTTTGGGCCATTTCCAACTACTCAGCCACCCTGAATTGCTTGGCCTCAGCAGACCTACGCCTAACTCGCTAACGCCTTGGGCCGACCGTGCACCGCCGCGTCGGTCAGGTGCATGGCATCGTCGTGCTGTTGGCCATCCGTGGCATCGTCAAGGCGAAGGCCATCGGAACGGAAGGAGTGTTTGCTACATGTGGTTTTGGATGGTTTTGGGAGTAGATGGCACTGGGCCCCCGAGGGGTCTTTTATGTTTTTTTAGAGGTCCATACAAACACATTAAACCACCTTTAGGGGATTGTGCCATCTACTTTGAGCTACTGTATCCGAAGAATCCGGGCCCGAACCAACTGGGAAGGGTTTGGTTCGGGTCCGGACCCCTGCGTTGCGGTGGAGAAGGTCCGACCCTTGCCATGGAAGGCCCCTGAATAAACCCTGAGTAACCGAAAACCCAAAACTGGTGCTAGTACCCTGGGTGCTTATTCCCTGAATCACCGATCGCCGAAAACCCTGAAGAAACTCCGGGTTCGTAGAGGAAAGACGAGGAAAGTACATCTTCCCTAGTCCCATGGCTATCCACTTCGATGGAAGGTGAGTGGGAAACGAGGAGCGAAGTCCTCGATGTCTCCAGCGTGGTTTGCACCGTCAATCATGGAGCAAAGTCTTTTTAATCATCGGGTCCTCGGCTCGCCACGCAACAGCTTTCCCAGCTTTCTATGACACGTTCGGACACGCAACAAGGATCAACAAGGGCCGTTTGGATCCGTTTTGGGGTGTTTTCCTTTTTCTATCATCAATGTTGGCAGCCGTTGGCAGCCGTTGCCATGGAGGGCCCTGGTTGGCCGACCCTCGTTCGCCTACATCAACCTCCCAAATCAACCCAATATAGTGTAGGCAAATACGGCAACGGTCCCATGGAGTGTTTGGGTAATGGTTCCTTGAATCAGACGACCTTCGCACCAGGCAGTCACAAGGCAGATCCCGAAGCAGCACCGACGCCCTGAACGTGCAATCACCTTCCTCATGGAGTGCCACTTGGTCAATGATTGTACCCAGACACTCCATGCATGGCATGTTTACCTATATCGACCCCTCAAGCCACCCCAGTCCGTAAATATGCCAGTCCCATGGAGTGTTTGGGGTATGTCTCGAGTCTAGATTGGATCATGGAGTGCCGCTTCGCAGCACGAGCAACTTGCCATGGCCAGTTGGCACAAGGGCAAGGCATTGCAAACAAGTTTGTCCCTCCCTTGCGTCACTGCAGCACAATCAAGTGAGCTTCCAACCCTGATCATAGACATAGATCAAACTGTTTGAGCTCCTGAAATCACAACTGCTTGCTTTGGAAAGCTAATTGCTGTGCTTGAGTGTTTGGTGTTTGGTTGCTGTGGTGAAGCATTTTTTCCTTTGTTGCTTTTTCTGCCTTTATGGCGCGGTCACCCTCACATGTGTGCTCACCTTGGTACACTGTGCTTCCAACTTCGGCGTTCACGTGCTGGATGCCCACAGCCCACCGAGTGCAACAAAATGCATGCAACGTAGTGCGAGGGGACTCACATTTAGCCCAGCCAACCCAGCCCAGGCTGTCAGCAAGTGGTGCCATCAGCAACCTTCTTGTCGACGGAGTCCATGGAAATTGTGAAGAGCTCTCTCGCAGTGCACGAAACCTTCAACCTCGCGCAGAGACACGGCGAGCGACGTTGGTAGTTGGGGTCGTTTTTCAACCCGCACCCATTTTCCACATCGCCTAAAGCACGTAAGATCACTGTGGAGGCCATGTGAGAAGATTAGTAATATATTAATACACATGACCTCAGGAGCACCGGACAACTCAGAAGAACCACCCTCGTGTTCCCATGAATTGCAAGCAAACTGTGACTTGGCACGTAGGTTTTGATGAGGGGACTCTCATGTTGCCAGACTTGTGCATGGGACACTTTGGCCCCCTTACTCTCCAGTCCTCCATTCTTTTTCAGGGCGACGTCACGTGGAGCCGCCGGGCCGGTCCGCCCGGTCGAGCCCTCACGCTCTCTCAGGATGCTCCAGGGCGAAAACGTGCCTGGCAGCGTGGTGAAGTTGAAGGAACTCATTAGCGAAAACGGAGAACAGGCCAGGAGACCTGGACAGAGAGCTGTGCGAACCGGGACCCGACTGGGATGGTGCCAGGGCAAGCAAGAAAAGCATGAAAAGAGGACCAAACTAAACCTCACAGAACCGAATCCCGACGTAAGAGTTTGGAGATTTACATGGTCTATACAGGTCTATACATGTCTATACTGGGATCCGAGTAGGGCATACTCCGGAGAAGTCGACCTTTAAGCTTTTTGGCGGGAATGGGGTCCACCGTTGCACAGAGTGAACAGATGGAAAGTTCGATGAACCACGCTGTGATTTTCCAGTGTGTGAGTACTTACTTCAGTCAAGGCGTCCGTTCGCGGTTCGCGTTCGCGGCCCGGCGACCATATATGCATGCGGTCCGTGGTGCGAACCATGAGAGGGTCGGGTCGGGTGCCATTGCATCGTCGATTGCGTTGGTCGATCCGCCGACATCCTAGGACCATTGAGCTGTTGGTCCAAGCAACTTAGAAGTTGATATTTATTAATACACCCACCCCAATTGAATTGAAACACCTCTTCATATGGGGGGTGTTATTAATCAAGAGTCTACATTAAGAAGTTGAGATGGTGTCTCAAATCCCAAAACCGAAAGCGCCAGAAGACATTTTGGGTGCGACACGGTCGAGGGGAAAGACCAGCTCGAACCTGCGAGCCGGACCTATCTAAGTCGGTGCCGGCCCGAGAGCCGGACGTCGGCTGTGTGGGTCGATCGGGTAGAACATGCAGTTCCTTCGGTCCGGCCGGTGGGACCTGCAGACTTGGCTCTTGGCTCGCGACAGGCCTTGAAGAACTACATGCTCTTTTTGCTGGGCTTCATGAGCGGTGTGTCTGGTGGTGAGGGCTCCAGGCCCGGGACGAGGAGGTCGAAAGGGGCGACCGGTCGTGACAGACCGTTTGACCGGAGGATTCGAGCGACAGAGGGGGGGGGTTCACGCGACTTTGGGTGGAGGCACTGGGTGAAACTAGAGGGGTTGAACATGCTGGGAGACCCAGGATCCCAGAAGTTTTCTTAAGTGTTTCAAAGCAGAAAGTTAGTCAAGTGAAGATGGCATTCCTGTCACCTCCTTGGTTTTTGCTCTCGCCTGCGTTCAGTGCAGAAGATGTGCTCCTGAACAGACTGGCCACATTTTGCCACTTAGATTGCCCCACATTGTTTGCATAGCTGAGCATGTGACATGCTTTCAACTCCAAGTGTTGCGGTCACTTCAGGCTGGAGGCATGTCCAACCGAACCAGAATGGACAATCAGACAGCAACATACAGAGGGATATGATCAAGAACTGGGTTCTAGTCGTGGTTCAAGTTTCTCTTGTGCTAAGGATGCTCTAATCGTGTAACATCGTGTCACCCAAAACAAAAGCTCCTTTGGGCACCAACATCAGGGTCATTTTTTGCACTAGAAGTACCAACCCAAAACCCCCTTCCTTGAGGATCCATCCGGTGATGTCGCCGCGCCGTTCGCGTTTCGGTCGGAGAACGCGTTCGCCAGGTTCATGAACGCCAAGAACGCCGAAGGAGCGAAGCGAAGCCGTGAAACGACTGCACGGCTGTTTCAGTCCCAGCTGCGTCTCCGTTGAAACCTGGATCAGTCGGCAGAACTGCCGAGCTTCAGCATTGCTGGTTTTGGGGGGAAGTTTGTATATAAAGAAAGTGAGGATAGCGAGGACATGGATGATCGTGAATCCCCATTCGATCCTTCAAGGGCGCTCAACGAAGTGTCTCATGGGGTGGCCGAGGCCACCAAGAGGGAGATCCTTGTTCAGCTGGCCTGCTCAATCCAGACGTTGGTCAAGCCGCAACAGTCCAAGCCCAACTCAGGTCATGCCACTTGCTAGGTCAAAGTGTGCCCACTGGAGCCCACTGGACCCACCAGTGGGTCTAGAACTGCGGTATAGTTGTGACAGGAAGCACCAGGGTGGATGATTGCGTTTTTGAGCATATAGCACGATATAGTAATATACTGTATTTCTTTAGGTCCTATAGTAATTATTGATGTTTCATTACATGTATAGAACCATGTATACCCATATAGGTTTAATCCATCATCCATCCAACATATGTTTCTTGGTGATCCTTCGGCGAATTTCGGAGGCCTCCGCCCGCCTATGCAAGCGTTCGCGCTTGCGCGCCGCACAGGATTCATCGCTGGGATCAAGATGCTTCAGCAGCTGACAACCTCGACACCGCGGGGCATCTACTGGGGCTTCCTGGATGTGGCTCGGCGGCTGGCAGGTTCCCAAATCAACTCAGAGGGTCCTAGGCCTAGGGGGAGATGGGTTTGTGAGCGTGGGACTTTGAAGATAGTCTAGCCTAGAGGTATATGGGTAGTGCTATGGGAATTTGGTGGCAATAGTGTTTTGGCATGTTTTGGCCATTATTGTCTCTTCAGCCTTCAGTGAGACAGTAGCCATTGCCCTTGCAGCGTGCCCTGTCGTTGTGCACATGTCGACATGGTGTTGGCATGTGGACTGGCTTTCAAAGCGAAACCTCCTTGCTTGGAGAGGTTGAGTAGTTGAGTACTGTTTAGTTTCGATGTGTTTCACCAGACACGTGCCAGGCTCGCGCAGAAGCATTGGAGATCCCTCGAGAAACCGCGGAGGTTCGGAGCCCGGGTCCGAGGGGATCCGGTGAGTCCAAAAAGGGAAGCCAAGGGGGACAGCGGGTGATGAAGATGTTGAAGGATCACCAAGCATCTAACCCCCCACCGGGTGGTGCCAATTCCTTGGCCGGGTCATCCATATTGTGGCATCAAGGGGTCATGCTACTGGGTATCAAGGACAAAGGGCATCCCACATAATGCTTTCTCATTCTATCTCCCTTTTGATGAAGGTTCAGGTGTTCTTGATTTTCTTCATGTCACGCTTCTTCCATGTGCCTGTCTTCATACTTTTTCACCTGTTTTTTTCCCAAGCACTCGGCTGCTTCAACTCGACTTGGCAACCAAAAAACAATAACCCCTTCATGACCACCGAACCGGGCTCCACTCCTGGCAAGACCCGGCCCCGTGCGCCTCGCCGCGCGTTCGTTCGTTCGAACGCGCGCGAGGATTTCGCCTTGGTGCGCCTCGCCTGCGTGGCGAGGGTTCAAGACTCCAACTCTTACGTGCAACTGCGGGCTGCCTGGGATGGCCTGGGCTTCTTGGCGCTAGAACGAGCCGGGGCGAACTACCACGGGGTGTGTTGCGCATCCTATGTTTGGTTCGGTGAGGGTCATTCGCATATTTGGGACGATCTTGGGCACCGGGCAGTTGAGACGTTGGACAGTGCTCAACTGCTGCGGAAGGTTCACCTGTCCGGGAGCGACAGACGGGTAGAACATGGTAGAACCAATTGCAGGGGACAGGATTGAAAACCTCTCAACCTACGGTTCGATCTTGGCTTGCAGGCGGTGTGCTACGACAGCCGTTTTTTGCAGGTCCCTGTGATTGCTGGCTATTCTTGCAACCGACTTGATTATATATATATATATTGTTTTTGCCTCCAGCCCCCCCGTATTTTAGACTGTGGGCTTCGATTTGAGCTTGTCATTTAGTCAAATTTGCGTGTCTCAAAGGTATTCAAGTGTCAGTTAAGTACTTTGCAGACGAGTCCATTTTAAAACTCCATTTGCAATTACACTCAATTTGGGGTGCAAGCAGGATGGAGACAATCCTGTGGACCACAATGGCAGTGCCTATTGAAAAGCAATGTTTGACCCTCAACAATAACAAACCTCTAGCATCCTCTACGAGCAAAAATAAGCCTCAGACCCGGGTTTTGGAAGGCCTTCCAGAATGCAAGTGGAAAGGTGAAAGGAATAAAAATAAGGGAAACTAAATGACTTTAAAAGGGTGGGCTAGAGCACTTTCTCCAGGTGATGTTTAATTACAGAAAGGTGTTTTGTTAAGGGTTAAGGTGGAGGGTAGAGTTGAGGCATGTTGCTTTTACCATGTTGGTTATTTTAGCACCAAAAAAACGAACAGAAGGGGTTGCAACCCAGGTGCAACCCGGGGCTTGTGGCTAGAAGTCAGATCATACAAATCTTTGATCTTGGAAATTCTTTCCTGCTGCCCTTTTGCGGAATTTGCGGAACTTTGCTACATTGCTGACATTTGCTGATTCTTGCTTGGAATCTTGCTAACTCGTTTCGGACGATGAGTTGACTACTTCTGGGCGGATAACATATATATATATAACCATAATTAACTTTGGGCGTAGTGTTGGTCGTCCGACTGCGGAGACCTTCACACAACCATTCCACGCCATCTTGCCGAAATGTTGAAATTGCAAAGAGGTTTTCCTAATCAACATGTTTCTGAAGAGATTTGTTGGCCGTTTTTGCTTTCATGCTGAAAAAATGGACTTGAGATGAGACTACTTTCCGTGGAATCGGGATGTTGAGAGCCATTCAGAGCCATGTTCGCCATGCTCCCAATAGAAGCTCCCCAGGTTGAGAAGGTGTCGCTCTTCCCACGGGTGACACTGACCCAGCCCCCAGGTATTCGTGAGAGAGACCTGCTGATGGACCACTTCTTAGCCGATGGCATTGATCAAAGAGCCTTCGTCTTGGAGTTCTTGCCTGCATGCGTTGGGGTCTCAGTTCGTGAAGTGCGGACGCGCCGCGGGAAGCTACCGGGCCCCCTCGGGCCCCGCAGGAAGCGGGCTGCCCAGACAGGGATACTCAAGACACCCTTAGACAGGGACGTACTGGGATGGGTTCTTGTTCTCAATCATTGGTTGTGTGGATCCCAGTTTTTGGGCGCCATTGGCTCTCCGACCAGCGGCTGGCCTAGGTCCAGAATGCGCAGCAAAACAAGGTCATCGGATTGAGCCTGCTGCTGGAGGCCAGCGTGGCCGGTCGAAGGATACATGTCACGGGCAGTTGGTGGTCACTTTATTGACTTCACACAGCCACTGATTTGATTTGATGTGAGCACATTCTTTGTATGAAGCAAAGGGACAAGGCAACAGGCGAGACTAAAGCCCTGCCAAAAAGACCGATGGACGCCACACGAAGCCCGGGGCTTAGGAAAAGTGGATCGAAGTTGCAGCGCTGTTGTTGTAGCGAAATTGATGATTATGTTGGATTGTGATTTCAGTTGTTCTTGGTTGGGTGCTACATCTGGCAGTTGGATGATTGTGCATCCAACTTGAGGGTGGTTTTGGCCGTTAGGAATGGCCCGACACACTCCCGCAACACAGCTGGGACCATCAGCTTCCTCCAGGAACGTGGATGCAGTTTGTCTCACCAAAGCCGAGGATGGGGAAGACATGATTGGGATTGGACCCATCAAAACATAGGGATATGATTGTTGTGCTTCCTACAATCCATCCATTTCATTCCATTTCTACGTGACGAAATGACTTCAAGCATCTCCAAGCGGCCTATTCCAAAATGTGATCTCATTCTAGGGCCAGCAGCATGATGATGAATGCTTTATACTGCCGAGTCCTAGGGCAGTTGATGGGAAGAAAGCCAGGGCAGTTCCTCCTCGGGCAGGTGCTGGTGGATATTGTTTCCAACTTGCAGCCAGTTGTTGCGGCTGCAGCGCTGGGTGACGAATTGAAAATCGTGCCTTGGAAATGAGATGTTGAAACTAGTGGGATTTGGTGGGATATGTGATGCAAGACTGGCCAGGTTCCAGGCTGATTGCTCCCTGATAGTTACCCATCTTTGAGCCATGTTCATTCCCCAAACTCCAATGTCTCTTGTCGAAGATGTCCACGCCGAACTCGCCACCGAATGTTTGGGCTCAGGTGCCGTGCAACCTTTCAGATCTAGCGGAATTTGCGACTTGGACCTTGAGATCCACATACAGCGTTGTGCGTTCGGTTGCCACTCTGCAGGTGAGTGTTTCGAAAGCCCCTTCTGTTCCGAAAGTCGATGTCAGAAGCGACTCGGTATTTCTGCTTTTGTGATAGATTGTGACACTCTCGGCTCAGCCAGATACAATAGGCCGGCCTGAGATGGCCCTTTAGCACCCTCCACCTTCGTTACATCGTGGAGCCACCGTGTTTGGAGCGAGGTGGCCGTGGCTCGCAATCGCTTCATCTTCCGGACCTGCATCTCCCGATCTCGGTTCCTCGGCAACGCTGACGCCCACGACGAGAGCTCTCAAGCACCAAGCATCGCATGACACCGCATGAGTTGGAGCTTGTATTTGATTTGGCTGCTTTGGATTACTAACTAATACTAATTATATTACTAACTTCTTGTTAGTGCCTTGCACTTGCCCATCGTAAGATGCCGTAACCATCGCACTCCCCAAGGCCAAGTCAAGTCCTTTTTGGTTGCAACGGGCCAGCGGTGGAGACCTCACACGTCCCTTCCCCGTCCCGGGGACAGACGACTCCGCGTTCGGCTCCGGTTCGGCAGGTTACGTGTCCAGCAAGATCGAGTGACCCTGGAGATGACGGGCGGCAACTGGGCAAGGCTCAATGAGGTGGACAGCGACACCACGGCCTTGGCCAACACCATGAAGGAGAGGTTGAGGGACAAGGAATGGAGGGAGGAAGAGGAAGGAAAACAGGGAGGATGAAAAAGGGTATCTAACACTTGTGAAGGAGCGAGGGAGGGAAATGGAGCACCATGGGGGGCGTATGAGGGCAGGATGAAAGGGTTTTGGTTGAATCTGACGGTGCCATGAAGCGCTGATGGAGATCGTAGAGTAAATTGGACGACTTGAACGATGGTCATCGGCAGGATTCGGGGCACTGGAAGGGGGGATTTTCTTGTTCATGATTGGAAAATTTGGACAGCATTGACAGGTGTGCGCCCAATGTCGACCAGTGCCCACCCACAGGGTTCGGACTCGTCAGCGGTGGCTATTCACTGTTCGCTCACGCGATGAGGAGATTTCTGATCGACAGCAACTTGTGTGCAAGCAGGATGTGATCGTAAATAGTAAAGCGGCATGGGGTGTGGTAGTTCCAAAGGGCATGTGCAATACTTCGAAGACAGTGGTTTCAGAGTATATTTAAGAGATTGAACTCAACACACAGAGCCGAAATCCTTTAAACAAATAGAAATAATTGTAATATTGAGAAACAAATAGGAAAAACAGATCCACACTCAGGAGAACATATACATGTCAACGGGGTCCATATAAACCAGCAAACTGAAGAATTGCGCCATCTACGTTCCATCCACGATACTTGGAAGATCGAAGATCTTGGGATCGGGATGGGATGGATCAAGATCTTCCATGGGGATGGGTCATACCCTGGACTATGAGTATACGAAAAGAATCGAAAATATCATAAGTATAGGGCATGGGTCATATCCTGGAGCCCTGTTTTTTCTTGTTTTCTCCATGTAGCGAACGGCTGGTCCACCTGGTGTCGGCCCGTCGGTCTGGTGCCATTCGACGGCCAGTCCTCTCAAACACTAACACCCAAAAAGAAACAACATGAACTTTGAATCAAGGTTGAACAGGAAACTCATTACCTGTCGGGGCGCCGAGCTCAGTCCAGGCGCGAGTTGGAGTCGCGGCTCCAACGAGACGAACGGCCGCATAAGCTGCAGAGGGTCATTTGCTGAGGGGTGAGACAAATGGTTCACCTCCCGACCTCCCGTGCTGAACATGGAAGATATGCAAGTGAAACATCCTGAAGAGGAAGAGTTGAGGCTTGGATCGAAAGAGCAAAACACCTGGGTGTTGGGTATGGTTGGGTTGTGTTCCAGATGATGTCGCAGATTCCGGGCCCAAAGGTTGTCTTCGATGGACAGGAGGTCGAAGACAATTCCGGTTGACTCATTGATGGTCGAGTCTGGATAGTCTGGCCTGTTCGGAGGGGAAAGGGAGGAGAGGAATTCTAAGAAGAGAAGGAACGAGAACAGGAAAGGACTTTTATGACTCTGACACAGCAAGTCAACGGACATGATGGACATGGAAGCAAATCACTGCACAAGAGGCAAACATAAATGTCAGTATTGTAACCATTGTCAATGGAGTCATACGGAGTTTGTTTTGGACCCGAAGGGGTCCAGACCTGAAAGGTATATAATGCATGTATGGATACGTATGGGTTGGTTTCTTCCCCAGTTTGCATTCTCCGCCAAAAGAGCAAAAAGAAGAGGAATGAACATGAGCAGAAGGAAAGGGAAGAGGCAAAGGAATGGAAAGACGAAGGGGAATATGCCATACGATGCTCTATTTGTTAATTTCTACTTTCTTTGGGGTGATGGTTATCCAGATTCATTCATCTCGGTGATGCTTCCTTTTCAAGCAGAGCAGCAGATTCGCAAAAAAAAGAAAGATCTCCAGGTTCAGCACGGTTTCCGACATATTCGCTGGATGTGAAGTCTGGCTGCTTGGTCGGCCTTCACGCGACGAAAGAGGAGCGCGGAGGCAGCACGTGACGCAAATCGTGTATTTGTCAGACAACGCCGGCAGAACATGCGTGTCTCACGTTGGTGATTTTGGGATATTTTGGGTGTGCGCCTCTTCGCTTCCCAGCCTTAAACGGGCGTTTCGGGCTTTTTAGCCAAACGAGCACTGCTGAAAGCAGCAAAATACGATTATTGAGACCACCCGCGGACGTGCACACTGTGCTCAGACACAAGGCGCAGCAATATTTTCCTACACTTTGTTTGGAGTCTGGTAGGCGCCAGCGGATTTTCGGCGACAACCCTTCACCTGAAAGGTATGGAAATGGAGCCGGTTCCTTTGTTTATCGGATATGATTTTTTTTGGCCCGTATGACCGTGACCTGCAAGATCTATTCTGCTGCAGAATCAATTGATATCAATTGTAGAAATTAGGCAGCACTGCGACCAGGGACCCAAGATATCAAGTATCCAGAATTAAGCTGCTTGGCCTAATAATCTTAAGATTCACTTGTGGATGGCGGCCGCTGATGGTGTCCATGCGAAGCATGATTATCTTCTTATGCGTCTCACTTCGACAAAGCCGGACTGTGTCCGGCCGCAGGGTGCCACCAGACGTCGCAACCCCGCAGATTGAGATGGGAATCCTTTGGGTCAATATGGATTAATCAGTTTGCCAAGTTGGGCACCCTGCAAAATATCACATCGCTTGCACGCATTGGTCGACGTAACTGACGATGTCAAGGAGCGATGCCAATCCGCCGACATGGTGCCGTAAGCAGGCTCTAGGTGCGGTAGGCAGATCCACGAAGACACTTGATTTGTATTATTAGCACGAAAAGGTTATATAAAGGTCCAGATTCAGCAAGATACTCATAATGTCATGATCTTGCAATTTTACATACGCAAGATTATAACGGCTGCGCATAGTAGAGATACAGAATCTGTCCCTTTCAAGATTCAAGGGCGAGCTGTAATATTCGCTGAAAGCCCTGCCATCCACGATGTTTGGTTCCAAGCAGCAGTGCCTTGTGGGAAAAGGCATGAGGGTGTTCTGGGTTCTTTCTTGTCGAATCGGTCGGATGCATGCTCCTCGGCAAGGCAACGCCACTGTTAAAGACAGGGCAAGCTTCCCTTAATTGGTAGCGATGTCAGCTCAACTGCGCAATGACTGCACATTTTGCGAGAAAAGGGCCACGACTGTAGCCCTGTGGCCACGACTTTGGGTCATAGATGCATGCAGGTCTTGCCATGTCGGGGCCGAGGGGCATGTCGACCATTTCAGGACCACACCATGTCAGGAGAGAGACAAAGAGAACACCAGTGATCACAGCAGAGAGGTGAACACATCTATACACATCGAGCCCAACCCCCCCAAAACCTTCCCTGCCTGCTATGTCTTGGGGAGATGGTCTTGGGGTCACGCCCCTGGAAAAGAATCAGTGATACAATACAGTAGGTGATCCCAGCCTCGTTTCAACTTGATTTTCATCCTGGTCCTGGCAGTTTTGAGGTCAGTTTTTGGGTTTGTAAGATGTAAGAAGCATATCTGTATCACCATCTCCTCATGCCCACCCTGCTTCCTGAAGGTTTTCCACAAGGATCAGGAATACAAAAGCACAGAAACCGCACAACAACCGCATGCTGCTTTTTGAACAGATCTGAGGCTTGTTCCGCTTGCGAGGCTGGCCGCTATAGTTCTCAGGCACGCGATGGGAAGGAATTTTGGGCGTGTTGGCCCCATGCACCGCGCTTTTCCTTCAAAGTTTGTTGAAAGACTCTTCTCTCGTGTTCGATTGTTGTTATTTTCTCAGGAGCTTCTGACAGAAGACCCCTCACCCGGCGCTCTTGGTGCTGGGTCGAGGAGAAGAAACCACCCCAAAAGGTGGTCAGGCCATACAGCTGGCTTATCGCTGTAGATGACTGGCAGTCGATGACTGGCACGTACTCGTCCACAGCAGAAACGACCTTGAAACTCGTTCCACACAGGTTCGTTCCACACCCTGACGAAATCTCAACAACTAGGTGTCTTCCGGGGCCACCCTTTTTGTTGGTGCAGAAGGTGTTCCCATTGAAGAAGATCTTTGGCATTCGCAACTTCCTGAATGCCAAGTATCGGCCACATCATATTGGTGTCCTGTCTAAGCAAGCCCAACTCCCATGTGGCAAACTTCTGGTTCATCGGAAGTTTCTTTGGTCAATTGGCCTTTGCAGGTGGGCCTTACCAGCAAGGAGGCTTGTCAGTGACTTGACACAACGATAGCCCAAGAGACATCAGCAATTCCTTACTTGGGCTATCTTGATGCCGATCTAAAATCGGACAATCGTCGGACGTCAAGCGACTGAAACCAGAGAGTATGTGCATGTCCAAGCAGATTTGCGAACCTTTGGCACGGGGTTGTAACTCAGAGCCCGGCTCTCCGGAAGAACAAGATTGAACGAAACGCCGGACGAACAAGTCGGGCCCTCCAGCCTTCAGGGCCCTATTACCCTCACGGTGTTGCCAACCCTCCTTTAAGCGGCGACCAACCGGGAGCCGACGACCTTTCTGAACACCGCAGAATCGAAGACGAAGATGAAGGCATCTGGCATCGACGATCGACCCTCCCCAGGCTTTTTTTAACCGTTTTTTTAGAAGGCACGATTGTTTGCGCATATTTGTGTATAGATATGTATATATATATATATAAGTTTATGTATGAATGCATATAGACTATTGAAAAATTCGCACTGACTGCGATCAGTGGCATTCAGTCGCCACATTGCCAGCATTGGGCATTGCCATTTGTAACCTGAAATCAAAAGACAAAGACTACTCATCACAAGGAGCCCAACCCTTCAATTACTCCAGACCTCAAATAATACTAAACAAACCCTGGCTTGTTCTTTTGGTGGTTTCCTTTACTGTACAATTCCTTTAGATTTACTTTCATGTCCCTTTCTTTTCGTTTCATGCCCTTTCCTTTTCATTCCTTTCATGTTCCTTTATGTCAACTTCCACTCCAGCTTCTTCTGGATGTAACATGATTAGAGTCTGCACTTGATCGGACGGGGAGGGGGGTGAGGAAAATATGAGGTAGCCCCGTCTCCCAGGTCCGAAGATGTTTTGCTTCCTCCCATTCACCCCATCAAGGTCGTGTCCCAGCGGCACTTGGTCCACCTCGGGGGCGGTCGAGCTGGACTGAAGGGGAAAGTGGCCGAAGGAAGGAAGGAAGGAAGGAAGGAAGGAAGCAGGACAATGTGGAATGCTTGAAGATGGTACGATATGCTTGAAGCGCAGAAGAATGGAAATGGATCTTTGATGATCTTTGATCTTTGATAGGATTTGGATATGGGCACGTTTTTTTGGAGTATGTCAGAGGATGGTACAGGTGATGAATACGTTTGACCCAGCAACAGCGAAGATTTGTTCATCGATCCTGCGAGCCACTTTTGCTCACACTTGTTCACGTCGTCCATTTTGCAAGGCTCATCCAGGAAAGTTCATGTCCATGCAATTGTGCACCCGTTGGACGCGACCTGCAGGATGCATGCATCCCCTGCAAGCAAGAACGCCCAGGAGGTCCCTGCCAGATTGCAAGGCCCAGCTGTGCGACTGTGTCAAAGATGTCTGGCAGCCTGTGATCCAGACTCGGCAAGCACCTAACCCCGGTTGCCACAGGGTCACCTTCCAAAAAGAGAGAGGCTTCCAAGACTGAATCCCGAAATGAGCCTCCCACACCATCAGACGAGATCTCCACCAGATCGATTCGATCAAAACTTTTGCCTCATGTCTTTGCCACACGGCATCGTTCCGGAACCGTGGCGCTGCGCCGTACGGCGCTCATCGCCAGGACCCCAAGCACGACCGAAGCCTCGAGCCGCTGAGCCGCGAGCAGTCGAGTAGAGTGGGAGGAGTTGGCCCGAGGTCCAAAGCTTTCAGGTTCTAGTACGCGTTCTATACTAGGTGATGGTTTCGGATATGTTTAGTTATTTTCAACACTTACTTGGGGATGATTGGACCCTCTGACAAATATGTTTCAAGTGGGTTGAAAACACCAACCAGTATAGTGTGCATCCAATGTTGTATCAAAATGGTTTCAGTTTCTGTAAAAGTTCTATTAGGTGACACTTTCCAACCAAAAAAAGTCATGCTGTTCCCATCATTCTGATCCTGAACAAAAACCGCTGTTCATGCCCTTTTTCAGGTGCTGTTTGGGTGTGTTTAGGGT